TCTCCACTTCTTGAATCTAGTTCAGGAGCAATGGCACTGAGTGAAACATAAGCAGCGGTGTCCTGCTCGCATTAGCAGAAGTTATATCTGGCTACTGTTCATAGAATCATAGAATCCTAGGGGTTGGAAGGGACCTTGAAAGATCATCTAGTCCAATCCCCCTGCCAGAGCAGGGTCACCCAGAGCACATCACACAGGAATGCATACAGGTGGGTTTTGAATGTCTCCAGTGAAGGAGACTCCACAACCTCCCTGGGCAGCCTGTCCCAGGGCTCTGTCACTCTCACAGTAAAAAATTTTTTCCTGATATTCACCTTGAACCTCCTGTGCTCCAGTTTGCACCCATTACCCCTTGTCCTATCACTGGTCATCACTGAGAAAAGCCTAACTCCATCTCCCTGACACTCACCCCTTACATATTTGTAAACATTGATGAGGTCACCCCTCAGTCTCCTTTTCTCCAAGCTGTTATGACCTTATTTACAAGAACATGTGATTTACTACACCAAGTTGGACCATCGTTGCTTCCAGACTAATAGCCAGCTACAAAGGATGGCAAGGAAACCATGTCTCAATACCTGTGCCATCTTACAGTTCATCTTACGGAGCAAAAAAATAATTTCTTCATCTCTGCAGTGAGTTGCTGATATTTTCAAGACAGGAGTGTTATCTTTCCCTTTTATCTTTGTATGTTCTAATGGAACATGCACCCCTGACATTCTTGAGTTTCAGGCATGCATCTCCACACATTGCAGGCTGTGGAAGGGCTTCGCTGACTGCCTGGTGCTGTGAGCAGATTTCCTGGCAGAGCAGCCACAGAGCACCCGTGTGGCTCATTGGAGCTGGACCACCGTGTTGAACATCCAGGTTATTCTGAAACAAGTCTCAGCTGAAGCCAGGTTCAACTCCAAACAGCTATGAGGCATTAAAAACTTTAGTTCCAACAGCCAAAAGAAAGCTGTTGCTGGTTTCTAGGAAGGTTGAACAGAAATGAAAAGTAACAGCTCACTTCTTTCTTCAGCAACCTTACATCTACTCCAGAGGCTTTGCTAGCCTTGTATCATCCAGCAGACAATAAGTGCAGCACGTTGCAGCCTTTCTCGCTGGTTTATGTATAACCTTACATCCTGGGGCTGTGCTCAGAGGAGATAATCTGGCTGTGGAAACTCTTACTATTTTTTGTAGCCCAAGTCCACCTTGGGAGTTATTCCCGTTCAAATCTGACCCTTTTTCCCCTGAAACCAGTAGCCAGTCCCCCATGTTGGAAATGCTGATTCCCTTGATCCTGACCTGATTGTGTTCTCACTTGCCCAAAGGATAAACTGAGGCAGTGAAGAACTGCACAAGCCCCTTCACGAGTCACTTTACGCACATTGAGGCACAGGATCACTTTTCATTAAACGAGGCTATAGTCAAAAATCAGAGGAAAGCTTTCCTGCAGGTAAATATCATAGTTGTCTTCTAATTGTGTGTTACCTTCTCACATAACAAATGAGTGCAAACTCCTCATTACAGGCTTTCATTTCAGATCAAGTACAAGGGTAACCAGACAGTTGGAGGTAATAATATGTTTGAAGGGGCCGTTAGTAATAAATCATCCAAATTACTTTCAGTGAACAGATAAAATGACTGAAATACCTTCAGGGTTTGTAGAAGTTAGTCAGCCTGTGCATAGCTGTAACATCTCTTCTGGTTGTAATATCAACATTTCTGTACCTGCAGCTGTAGACTGTAAGCACAGCTTTTGCAAGTAGGGAGAAAAAGATTTGCATCATAGAAGCAGAGGAATCCATGAGTAAGACACTCTGCTTTGTCTCCTCATCAGTTTTCATACAGTGTGTTATAATATTTGAAATCAGCCATGGATTAGAAGTTTCTGGGAAAGACAGACAGAGTGATAGACAAACTGTTCCTATAAATGTTTTCTTAGAAAAGACAAGCTAAAAATGACTGTGTTGTAATGAAAGAATGTCCTGAGTTTGGAATAAGTATTTGTGATTGGTAGGTAAATTGGTGTAATTTCCTGAGAGCTGGAGGCTTGGTCCTGAAGATACTGTGTTTGGAAGAGACATATCATCTGGTGCTGGAATCAAAAGCCTCTGACTTGGTTACCTCCAACTGCAAGTGAGAGGATTTTGAAAGAGGTGCAACATGTCTGGGAGCAGTGATTTTCAGGAAAAAGTCTTACACGTGAAGAAGTGGCTACTACTTCCTCATGCTACCTGACACTTTCCAGTTGAACAGGCACCAGACATCTTGCCTTGCAGGGGTCAGGTGAAGCTGAAGGGTAGCATGCTGTTTCTTTGAGAGGCAGAAGCTCCTGTTTTCAGCTGCATTAGTGCTTCCCCACTTACCCTCTAATACAGGAACAAAAGATGCTTCCTAGGGCATTGCCATGGAAAAACAGCCAGGCCCTGCTCTAGTCTACTCTTCATGCCAATGAAGTGTTGCTGTCTAAGGCTTGTTGTCTGGGATTTCCTCTCCTAAAAAGTATTGCAATACAGAGACTACATTTCACCTTTTCAAACACCACTTTTATTTATCCCTTTATTGTACTAAAGAAATCCTTGATTAGCTTTATGATAATGCCATCTAAATAGATAGAGGGATACAAAGTGGGATTCATCTCACCTGATTTTCATCACCTGAAAGCTGGACATCTAGTTAAAGCTCATCATCCTCTATGTGACCTCTTTTGCTAATGGAAGGAGAGGAACCTCCTTGGGGTACTTGTCAACCTATGGATGGGGTGAATTGCCTGCCAGAGCCATGGCCACCATAGACTAGGCATGTAACTTTTACATATCTGAAGTTACTCACTATTTTGGGGGGTTATTAGAAACCTTTTTAAGATGGCTTTGAATCCTCCTTTCCCCCTTCTTATTGCTGCTTGTGAAATGGATACCCTTGCTTGAGTCAGCATCTGTGACACCAACTGCATCCACTCCTTGGCAAGATCCTATTTTAAGCTTTCCATCAGAGGTCACAGCTCTTTGTGCCATTGTCAAAACTCTTCAAAAGGTCCGGTGACATTGAAAGTAGGTCTCTTAGAAGCCAAAGGTTCTGCAGTAACATAAATAGGATCAGCAGCACTAAGTGCAGGTGAAAGAAAAGCCAGCTGCACATCCTTTCTGTCTCCCTTGGCAACAGCATCCTGCCAACAAAAACTGCTGCCAAGTAAAGGCTGGAAAGGAAGGGATGTGCATTTGCAAATCTGGGGCTGGACAAGCTTTGTGTGAGGGGGGAGCTGTCAGACCAAGGAACACTCATGGGCTTTTAAAATTGTTTTGGGTTTTTTCCATGTGTTTTTGGACAAGGGAATGCACAGAGCCTCTGTCCTTCTGAAGAGTTTTCATCTGAAATTCCAAACAACAATCTCTGCAATTTAGAGCCATATGTTTCCATCCATGACAGCACACAGGGAAGAAATCTGTGGTGAGTTACTGCTTACAGATGTGGCAAATCCTCCAGCAAAGGTTAAAATACGTGTCATGGTTCTCTTGTTACGCCAGCTGCAGCTTCCTGCTAAATCATTGTTTCAGCAGCAAGCTCTTAATCAGCTCTGAGTTCTAGAAACTGCTAAACAAGCTGATATTTGTAAGGTCTGGTTTTTTTTTTAATAATGCACAAAATGTCTTAATTTAGAAAATCCTTCAGACTGAAAACAGTAAGGGTGAAAAGTGAACTGCAAATGACAGGGAGAAAAGGAGCGTCATCAGAAGAGCACAAAAATGCAAAGCAGATCTTAGATTATTATTTGTACACTGGCTTCCCATGTCCTCCATGAAATGATCATGGCTGTGAAAACAGAGTTTGTGTAACTTACAGGTAAAATATACTTGTGATATAACATACACTCCTGCTTAGCCTTCCTGATAGCAACTTCAGTCCCCAAAAATCAGCACTGGGTCGCTGCCAGAGATCCTGTAGCTGCTCGTGCTGCCAAATATCAAATCTGGTGCCACAACATCATTCTTTGGCTGTGGCGTCAAAAAAAAGAAGTCTGCCTGCAATGTGCTTGTATCCAAGGCCTGAAAAAGGAGGATCTTCTCACCTAGTATGATTAAAGGAAGGAAGAAAGGAAGTGGCTTTTCTCTCCAGCAAAACGTTAGGAATGTATTTTGGGAGAAGCCCATACAACAAACTGCTTGGGCTGTTGCAGCACCCCTGGATACAACAGGAACCCTGAAACAGAGAGTGACTCTGACTCCTGGGGCATTACTGTACTGCTCTCAAGAAGCCCCCAACTTGTTGCTCTCTTACCATTTCCCCATGCCTTTTGAGAGATTGGTAGTTGGCTGCACAGGGCACAATTTCTGTGTTCTTTAGGCAGTGTGTTCTTCCAGACACCCAGCTGTGCCAGAGAGAAAAAGAGAAACAAAAAAAACCCCAAAGATACAGAAGAAGGGAGGCAGGATTGTGGGTTTAGGAATCACAGGATCCGTGGACTTCTTTATGGTTACAAAGTAGAAATTGCTCTTGAATTTGCTTCACTGAGAGGTGAAGAAATGAAATAAGCAAAGGAAGAAGAACGAAGAGGATCACTATTTCATTCTGACAAGAATATTAATATCATTAGAGATAATTGAATGAAGTGGAAAGCCTGGTGGAGATACATAAGCAGGAGGTAGATCTGTAAAATCCATCCACACACAAAAAGCTAAACACTGCACTGGAGGGAGGGCACTCTGCCTTAAAAAAGGGACTGTACAGCCTCACAAGGACGTGCAGCTGGGGTGCTTGTTGCTGTTTTGTTCCCAGAAAATGAGAACTGCCAGCAATCCTCACGCATCTGAATAGACCTGTGTCAGACAAACTGTATCTGGACTTAATGGGAAACCAAGCTGGAATACCAAGCAGCCCTTCGATCTGCTGGCAGAGAAGGGGACTGGCTCTGTAAGTAATCTTGCCTTGCAGTTGCAAAGGTACTCCATAAAGGAGCGAGCCCTCTCTCTGCACAGCCCTGCAAGACACGCCTGCCTGGGCTGTCTCTGTCCTCATTCCTCCAAACCAGTTCCAACAATAACAGCAACTCCTGCGTGCAGCTGCCTCGTTAGGGAGAAGATGTATTTTTCCTTTTTCTACTGAGGGATGAAGCTTCCGAATCAGTGTGATGTGAGCAGGTGAGGATGTCTGCTGACAAGTCCAAATGATATTTTCAGGTAAGTGATTGCCTTGAACAAGCAGCTAGAGTCAGACTCCTTCTTTTTATTATGCTCCTCTCAGTAATTACTGCTGTCCTAGATTGTCAGTGAGCCTTTTCACAAGGTTCAACAGCTCGGATGTCTGTGTATATTTAGCTGACTAGGGGATCTGAAGCATTTCTCTGAGTCTCCAGTGTAGTGTGAGAAAGAACTGGGAGCTGCCTGCTCTGTAACTACACGACACTGTCCTATATATATCACCCATTGTTTAAAACACTGGAGGACCATAAATTAATCGTGATTTACCAACTCACTCTCTCAAAGTCTGTAATGAAACTGCATCTTAGAGGCAGTAATGGTGTTCTTCAATGTTTTTGTCTTGGTAAAGGACTGGGACATTCTTGCCTCATGAAAACTGTAGTAACCATTACTGTTGTTGCACAGGGAAAATCAGCAAGTGCTGCTTAATTTGTGTTTGTACATGTGATTTCCAGAGCTTCTGCTGATGTTGTTTTATATTATGCACATAAAGTTGTTACTCTGTGTGTACTCAGTCTCTGCATGTTACCAAATACCTGTATTTTGAAGTTGAGGTTGATCACCCTGTCTAATACATACCAGGGAAAACAGATAGTAACTTCTAAGTTAGCTTCTGAGGGTTCTGGCTTGACAACCACTGATAGACAGGCAGGGAAAATAAATTTTCTATGCAGAGTAACCTACTTTTTCTTCCCTCAGTTCTTCCCCCAATCATGGAGGTGAAATCTTCTTAACTCTTTGTTTATGCAAAGGCTGCTTTATTGTGTGTGAAAATCATATTACTTCGACAGATTTCAAAGAAAATTACCATAACAACAACAATAATATATACTTTCTGCACAGTCTCTGACCATTAAAGATTGACTTTTCTCCCACTAACATTTTGGTTTCACTGAGAGACACAGGAGAAGTTAGTAGTGCCATGAAGAAAGCTTTAATTACAACAATAGCATTGCTATTGCTTTGAACAGGTTTTGCATAACCTTCTCTCACTATTAGTAGTGGAGACTGTTGGAAGTATGGAGAGGCTTCAGCATCCCACATGGTGCCCACATGCACCCCAGCCCAGGGTCTGTAGATAACATGTCCTTTGTAGGATGGCTGCCTTTTCTTCCCTTGCTCGCAGCAGTCTGAAATAATGAGACCAGCAGTAGGTCTCTGCACAAAAAAAGCTCTTCCTGATGTCCTACAGCAATCAAGTTTGCCAAGTACTGCTCAGAGTGCCTCTGTCTTGCTGCAAGGTCCGAGGGAGCAAAGGCCAGAAAGGGTCAAACGCCAGACTGAGCTTGTTGTGCATATTCATTTGCTGTAGAAAATGTGAATGCACGGCTCAAAAGTTTCCACTGGATCTTTGGCAATTAGGACTTGGTCCAAAGCCCACTCAAGTCATTGGAAACATTTCCACAGGGTTTAGATCACAAGTTATGTAAGTTTGTGTTGTTCAAAGGAGGTACCCAGGGAGGCTGAACGTGTGCGCTGACTCTGCCATGTCACACAAAAAGGTGGTTCTCAAAGTGCCCGAGAAGGCTCCTGTGCAGCACCAGGTGATACTAAGTCCTAAATGAAGCCTCTTAATGCTGTCCTCTGCCATCACACTGGCCCCTAACGGGGGCTCCTGAGGCCCTGAGATAAAACAGTTAAAGAGCGTCAGCTGCTAGAGCCGAAATCACTTTGTTTATCTGGTTTGGAGGGAGGCAGTTCTATCTCCTATGTGCAAATAAAATGGCCATGAGGAAGTTCCCAAAGGGTAGGACTCTGCAGATTTCACAATCTGGGAAAGCAAAATATTCCTAACCCCCAACTTTTCTGAGATTCACTGAGGACATCAACCATAGCCTTTTAAAATGTTGCTGTAAAGAAACACCTTCATTTTCTTCACGTACACAACTGCACACACCACTTCTAGACTCCTCATGTGAAACACTGCAGGGAGATCCTGTTGAGATTTGAACCATTGCACCATGTTGTCAGGAAGGAGTTTTTATGGCTAAATGTGCATTGGCACCCTCTGTATACACTCTGCTGCCGTTCTGCTTCATCCTTGCATTAATTAATTCTATACTTAATATTCCCTTCTTGGTGCACTATGCACCAAGACCACAGGGTGACACAGTTTGCACTACAGAGACGTCAGGTCTATCAGTCTACTCATTAGGGTTGAATGGTTTTAATGCAGTCATAAAATTAGACTCCAGAAGTGGGAATTTGACACACAGCATTTAAAAGCCAAGCCAGTTTGACCCCTTCTGGGCAAGAGCCCCTGTACCTTAGAAATGGCTCCTTATGAAAAAAACTTAATGGTGTGAACTGACCTTTGAAAATATAATTAATTAGAACTATTTGATATAATGTGCCTACATTAGTCTATATTACCATTATGCCAGCAGATACTATGAATTGTCAGTCTTTACCCTAAGGAGCTCATGCTTTAAGTGAGATCAGTCCTAAGAGTCTTAAGCAGCCAAAACTGAAGGATTTTGGCAAAGAGTTGCAGGACAGTGCTTTGAACTGACCAAGAGCATCTGCTGTGTACCATCTCACCTGGGATATCAAAACTTTGGCCATGATGAATTGATAGCAACCAGAAGATCTCCTTTCAGTGCTAGTCTGACTGAGGGTAAGCTGAGGCACCAGGGGACAACTGGCATTGTAGCCATCATGGCCTTTATCTCAGCATGGGTGCATTTGTGAAGCAGAGACAGAGGTTGGGAAGGGAAGAAATTTGAAGGAGTTGGTTAAGTCCACTTCTGTGACAAATGCCTCCTACACTTTAGTAGAGAAACTCAGAATATGATTTTCCTAGGCTTAAGGCAAAGTTGCCAAACAGGGCAGTCTAATATCAGGGACCTCAATAAGAGTCCCACTTTGTAAGACATTGCATATCCTCAAGTGATAGAAAAGTAAGTGGGAGCTCTGGGCATTCAGGCCAGCACAAATCTAAACACAGCACGCTTAGGTGATGATGCAGAGCATCTGAGAATACCAGTTCCAGCTTCTGCTTTCCAGTTGGCTGTTGATCAAATATAAAGCAAATTAATTCTACTTAAAAGGGGCAGCAAAACCGACTGTGAAGTTCTTATTACCAGCTGGTTCTCCCTAAATATACAACACTGGCTATTTTTGCAATGATCTACTAAGGTTAGTATTTTTTCAGTAGTAAGGGGCACAGATTAGCTCTGGTTGCCACTGAAGGAGTTACTGTGGTCCATTCAATCAGTGAAAAAAAGTCAGAAGCATCTGTAGCTTCTGGAGCCATGGTGGCTCTGCAGGGGCTCTTAAAGGGACTCTAGCAGATGAGCAAAACCTGATTTGCCACAGCCCAAGACAGCCAAATGTCATGGAGGCTATTGTTCACTGTTAGATAAATTACTTCTGATTTAGTATTTCCTTTGAATAATTATTCATACTTTACAAGCCACCTAAAGGTACTAGCTAAATGTATGTGGCCTCCCATGCCTGGTGTGTGGTGACCTGCTACCACAACAGACTGTCCCAGAGAGATTGTAAATCTTTTTAAGCAGCAAGCTACTGATTTATCAGTATTTCGAGAAGTGGAGATGCATGCTTGGTAGGCTTTTAGCCAGAGATCAGGGTTTCTAACCCCAGGGCACAATATGCAGAAAAGCTGATGACTTCCTTATTCCTCAAGGCATATCCTTGAGGAAAACATTATCTCGACAGAGCTGTTCTTCTGTGCGTGAGGTGTGAGAGAAAGTAGTTACACAAAGAACATCCAAAAACATTAGTAGGCATTACAGTCATTACAATCTAGTCTCTCATAAGATCTGCCAGTGCACTTTATCTTCTGCACTCAGAACAGCAGGCCTAAACTTTCCTGAAACATTATCTCCACACACCAAATCCAAAATAAATCATCATCTTTTCCTCTTTGAATTTGTTCCGTGGCAGCAGCTTGTCTTGGCATGAAATATTAGCCATATGGACACTAGGATGTCTGCTTTGACCTTGACCTCAGAATAAGTGCTGCCAAAAATGTGCAGATAACTCCTGCCTTTCATTACCAAGAGTGATGCTTCACGAGGATAGCACGATCTGCTCTTCTGGTTGCATCTCGGTGTACAGAATCTGTTTTTCTCTTTGACTAGGTGTTCTGCTAAGACCAAATGGTCTGTGGCTGGCTAGGAACTGGGAAGCAGTATCCAAGATGGTGGTTTATTTGGCAGAAATATTTATTTCAGAATTTATTTATTTTTTAAAGAGCTTATTTAAGCATCAGGCAGTGGAAAGTGCATTGCTTGGAACTGACTCTCACCATGTTATCAAGTCAGTATTTTCATCTTCTGGATATTTTGCAAAGTAACAGGAGGCTCCTGGGGGCAAGATTAGGTTAATTTTGTTTGTTGTAGAGCTCTGTGCTGTTCTGGTTCAGAAATGGTGATCAAATAGGGATCAAATCAGAGCATTTAGCTGGCTTAGGGAAGCAGGTACTGCTTCTTTGGTGAATGATGCACAGGATTTGGAATAAACACCTTTATCTCTGGCCAACGTGCAACAGAGCCCTAGAGCATAGTGGACACCTAATCAGAAATATTCTTTCAGAGTCCCTGTCTTCCTTGTCTGCTGGTGCACAGAACATAGATTCCCAGGTAGGGTAGAACTAAATGGCATAACAACTCTCACAAAGAAAGCTGGTAAGCCTGGATAGAGGAGGAAGGCAGAGAAGGGGGCAGGAAGATACTCCACAGTCTTGGCTGGAAGGTGCTCGTTACCCAGTTTGGAATCCTGCAGCTTTGATGAACTTGTCTCCCTGATCTGTTAAGACTGTGACAGTATCTTTCACCTTGACACCACTGGCTGGAATTCACACTAGCACAATGCTAATGGTGCCATCTGATGATGCTCAGTGGACTGTGCAAAATGGATTTATTCCATGTGCTTCCTAGTGGGCAGAGATCCACATTACACTCAACAACTTCAACATATGGAAATGGTGACATGTGATTGATGTGGTCCCTGCAGGTCATGCTAACTCAGGGTGTATTAGCCCTGCACCCCAGGGAGGTTTATGCTACTGCAGCTGCCCCCATCCATTATCTGGACTAGGAATAAATGGAAGAATTGATGTTCCCAGCAGTGTGAATCTGGCACCTCATGAAGCAGTGTGCACCACAGAGGGTGTTGGGAGGGAAACTTCACACAGTGCAGTCCCAGAGCACATGTCAGCACAGAACAGGTTGCAATCAAACATTTGTGCATGGGTGCAAAGGGCAGTTGTGTTAGACTGAGTCAGACCCCTAATAATCACATGGCATTTAAAAAGACTGTGATAGCTTTGTTTTCTTGTTCATTTTTTAATATTTGGAGATTTTCCACATCTCAGACTCCCAAATATAAAGTGACTAGGTTTTTCAACATTGCTAAGTAAAGGGCAGCATATATAACCGAGGAAGCCCTCTCATCAGACATCCCTTCTTGACCTAATTTTCAGCAAGGGCTAAGCAGCTGCTCTCTCAGAAAACAGATTGCTTAATGGCATCCAAGACTGGAGGGAGGCAAATTTATGATTTTGCAGCCAAAAGAATGAGAGGACTGAGGTCCTTCATAATGATGTAGATGTTCATCTGGAGGCCTCCTGGCCAAAACAAAAATGTCTTTTGTTTCTGCCCCTAAAGAGTAGAACATTTTGTAGCCTGTGCCTGTGGCACTTTAAAGCACTCTCCCAAGTCCATTCTGCAGGCTTCTCCCTGCCTTTGCCGCAGAGATTCCCTGCAGCCTTCCTGTTCTCGCCTTGCTGCTCCCACATCCATGGGGCCAACACTTCCCCTGCAGATTTTTCTTTCTCTTCCTACTTTCCCTGAGAAGCCAACAAAGTTGAATGCTAACTTTTCTGTCCTGCAGAACACGGAAGGTCTTCCTTCCTGCCAGACACAAGCTGCGCCGTTCCTCATCCACTGGTCCCTCCCTGGTGTCTCACCCTCTCTCTGTGTTTATTCTTTTTCCTTCAGGTGTTCTACTGATCTTGGCACTGACAGAAGAGCTGGTTTTTTCTGTCCAGGTACTGTCTCCCACAGTCTCCTCCTCTCAGGGCTTCCCGATGGACACTACCACAGTCACAGCCATGGGAACGACACCTCGCCACGCGGCAGAGCCCCTTCCCACATCCACTCAGGCCCTCCCCCATCCCAGCAGCCTGCCGGAGACAGCCCGTCCCACCGGGCAGAAGCAAGTGAGCAGCCCCCACCCGGCTGAACAGGAAACGTATCATTTATACAACCAGAGCGCTTTGTACACGGGACAGACTCGCCCCAAGGGGAAAATATTCCAGGTTTTCAAAGGCAACTTCTCGGAGTCCTCAGAGCCTTACCTAAAGACAGCCCTGCACTCTCCCTTCCCTACCCTGAGGAGCCCTTTCACAGACCACCCGTTCCAGTCCCAACCCACAGCATCCAGCGATCCCAGTGGCACGGGGCTGGCAAGAACTACACACTCAGACCCTTCTCCCCACCGGGGCGCCTCAGGGAGCCTTAGGGAAGCAGAGCGAGGGGATGGGGCTGAGCTAGTAGTGCAGGAGGCAGATTTTGCCACCACAACTGCTGGACCATCAACTGATCCTGAAGCAGTGTCGGTGCCTTTTAAACCCACCCACTACGGTGTTTGGGATATGCTCAGCAAAAACAACTCTTGGGTGACCTTGAATCTCAGTACAAATGTCCCCCTGTTTGCTGGTCCTGGATCTGCAACAGCAGCAGCAGGTCACTCGGTTCAGACCAGTTTTGACATCAGCATCTCCTCCCCAGCAGCTGGAGAGCCCGAGGGACCTGCTCCAGCACAGCATGGTGAGGTGACTAACACGACCTTGCTGGGCAGTCCTCTCTCCACAGTACCCACCACAAGGTTGTCCAGTTCCATTTCCACAGCTGGCTCCACCGCCACTGGGAACTTCCTAAATAGACTGGTTCCTGCTGGGACCTGGAAACCTGGAGTGCAAGGAAATATCTCCCATGTCACTGAGGGGGACAAACCTCAGCACAGAGCAACCATCTGTCTCAGCAAGATGGACATTGCCTGGATCATTCTGGCTATCAGCGTACCTATATCCTCATGTTGTAAGTTAATTGCTGCTTTATTTTGCTTTCCTTTTCTCTTTCCTTAAAATTCAGATTTTGGCCCCCTGTTCAAGGACCAGGTGGAGAGCTTGAGGTGGATGAGAAGCAATCACTAGACAGCTAATGCATTCACTTACCAAAGTGCTTAGCTCCAAAATGCAGGGCTTCCGTGTCTATACTCAAAGTGTTCTTGCTCCTTTGCTATTAGAAACCACTTAGTCTTTTTGGGCCCTCCATTTGAGGATGTAACTCATGGCTGAACAACAGTAGAAGGCAAAGCAGCTTTACTTCAAAACGTTTAAGCTGGTGACCAAAAATTGTACAAGTCTTTAATCTAAGAACTACTGTATTCTGCCCTGGAATTGGGTTAAAAATCCCACTGCTAACTCAAAAGATTAATGGTAGTTGTAATCACTAATACCTTAGGAAACACCAGTTTTCCAGCACAACAAAATATTCCACTGCAGGCAGTTAATGAACTATCAGGTTTTAAAGTCTGATAACCAAAGTGCTTGTTTCCTCCCAACTTTGCAGCTGCCAAGGGAGCAGGAAGAGTTTGAAGTTCTGGCCCTCAGACACCAGGAGACAGCCACCTGCAGGCAGGCTGGGTTTCCAAAGCTGGCTGATGTTCTCATCATTTGACTCAATTACAAAAAACAACACGTGGTTGAATTGTGAGTTGAGTCCAGGGTGTCCCCTGCTTAGCAGGGTTATAACTGCAAGGTAGGACAAGATATCCTCTGGGGTTTTACACTACAGAGCCAAGAGGAAGCCACTGAATGCATTGTGGGGTGTGATCGTGCTGATCTGGTTAGAATGGAGTAAACATAAAAATTTCCCAGCCTTTGCTGCCTGAGGAAACATAAGAGGATAGCAGCCAACAATATTGAGTATTAATCCTATTAGGTGAGCTGATTGAGCCAGTCTTGCACGCTGCTTACTCCTGCCAAAAAGGACAGTGCTGCTCCCTCCAGCCCTCTCGGAGCTGCAGCCACCTGATCTTGCTCCTTTCTGTCTGCCTGGGCCTGACCTGACACTGCCCTGAGCCACTTGGAGATTGCTGAAATGGCTACAAAATTTTCACTTTGCTCTTTGGTACTTTCTGTCCACCCACTGAGCTCAATCAGCCCTCCCACTGTGTCAGATGAGCATGCAGCCTGCAGTGGATGAGGCTGCAGGAACGCACACCTGGGGAGGCAGCAGCACTGATCCTTTTGGCAGCTGCAAATTACAGGATTTGCCCAGCATATCTCTTAGATGGTGCCTCTGAGACCATTGGTTCCCCTATTGCCAAGGTGGTTAAAACCACGAGTGAGAGCAAGACCTCAACATAAAAGATGGACAATCAAAACAAAGTGAAACCACAGCAGAAGGGTGCATACAGACTTCTGCAAAAGATGGGGAGGAGAAACTGTGATCCAGCAAGCACAGCGTGACGGGAAGCAGCAGTATCTGATGATTTGATGAGCAATGTCTTGTCTGTCAATCAGTAGAAAGAAAGGATCAAATAAATTCTTAAACTCATTATGTTTTTTATTCAGGAGGAAAGATGATCTGGATAGAAAGCTTCTAAATACAAAGCACAACATATTACACCACACAACCCAAGAACAGGAAGCATAGCCGGTGTGTAAACTGGTGTATGTCTGTGCTACAAGTGTGCCATATATGAGTTATATGGCTAATTATAGTTATTATTAGTAGTAATAACAATATGAAGAGTCTGTTGGCAGCACTTCTAATCCACTATTCATTAAATAGTGGTGTTTAAACTTTTCTTTTTATGTGCCAGAACAGTGTGCGTTCATATGACTGTGCTTAAACTGTGCCATAAGTGCTGATGTACAGGCATAGGTTATTCTTGTAAGAGAATAAAAATGAGTTACCACAGCCTAAAGCACTGACACCCAAACACAAATCTAGGGGTTGTGGCTTCTCTCTCTGTTGCACACTGGAGGGGCACATGGTACTGCATCCAGCCCCGGAGCTCCCAGCACCCAAAGGACATGGAGCTGTTGGAGCGAGGCCAGAGAAGGGACACAGTGATGATCAGAGGCCTGGAGCACCTCTGCTATGAAGACAGGCTGAGAGAGTTGGGGCTATTCAGCCTGGAGAGGGGAGGCTCCAGGGAGACCTTATAGCAGCCTTCCAGTACCTGAAGGGGCTACAGGAAAGCTGGGGAGGGACTTTTTACAAGGGTGTGGGATGGTAGGACAAGGGGGGAATGGTTTTAAGCTGAAAGAGGGTTGATTTAGATTGGAAGAAGTTATTTAATGTGAGGGTGGTGAGACACAGGAACAGGTTGCCCAGGGAAGCTGAGGAAGCCCCATCCCTGGAAGTGTTCAAGGACGGGCTGGATGGGGCTTCGAGCGACCTGGTCTGGTGGGAAGTGTCCTTGTCCGTGTAGTGGGGTTGAGACCTCTCAGCCCTGCCTGTTCTGTGACTCTGACTTTCTGACCCTCGGGAGTCCGGGTGTCCTCGGGCACAGGTGCGTGGTGTGCGGTGCCGGGTGTGCGGTGCCGGGTGTGCGGTGCCGGGT